ATATACCTTGAGCGACGCTCTTCCGATCTTGTCGCTCAAGGTATAGGCCCCTGATGACATTACTAGTATCCCCAGTGTGTCTCCCCACCCCCACATTATGAATGCTTCTGACGTCAGTGGCCACCAAGCTGTTCAAGAGCCATTGTCGGCACTGGGGGGCTAAGAACCCCTAAAGGTCAGATTCTAGAATGGCCCCTGATGACATTACTAGTATAAAATGCAGTTCATGCTTGCAGCTTGTTAGCCTTTTAGTCACTTTCTAAATATTCACATCTTCCAGACACAGAGGGTAAGTTTTCTGTAAACATTGTGACATTAAAACACATTTAAAGCACGTGTTAGAGTAAAAATAATCAAAGTTGAAAAAATTCATTGAGTCACAATTAATTGCCCAACAAAGTAGCCTAAAAACTCCTCAATAAAGCATAATTATGGTTTATTATTTCCTAGTGGCATACTGATTAATTTTACACAAGTATGTGAACAAAACTCACATGAGCTCCCGTAGTTCAGTGTTTAAATTTGATGAACAGGAGTTTTGTCTCTTTCTTTCTCCTAACATGCAAAACTGTCTATAAGTGTCAAGAAATTATTACAAATCATTCCTTTTATAATAAAATAAGTATACTTTTTATATGCAGTATAACTCTAATTCCAAAAATGATTAAACGCTGTGTAAAACCTTAAAGTCCTGTGGTAAATGGACTGTACTTATACATCACCTTCCTATCTTATTTCAAGATAAAAGCTCTTTACAGCAATCTGTGCCTCATTTACCCATTCCTACAGCTCTATACTAGATCTCTACAAAGGATAACCAGTGATTTATCACATTCATACTCTGATGGGACACACATCGGAGGCTATGAGGGGTTCAGTGTGTTGCCCAGGGACACTTCAACGTGTGACTGCTGGTGGAATCGAACCCACAACTCTTGCATTGGAGGACGACTGCTCTAACCACTCAGCCACAGCCGCCGTGGTTCAAAGCCATTCATTAAAGACAGATTAAGCAGATCCATAATTGGGATTTTAATGAAGGGAAAGGCGTCAGAACGTTCTAATTCCGATGGATCCAGTACGTGTTGATGGTTTGAGCCCAATGAGACAAAAACAGTCAGAACATCAATCAGGTTCTAGTGACTCTTCTAAAACGGTTTCTTTTGATGCTAAAGCAGTGCCAGATGGAAGATGGTGGATATTTAGTGGGAGAGGGTGAATCAGGGTCTGTTACTCCATCCCATGTTTTCCTTCCCTCACTCTCTGCTGGGGTGATTACTCTGCTTCACTCTATCCCATCCCAGCTTGGTCCCTTGGGATACACTCACACTCACACACACACAGAGACAAACTCCAAAAACTCTCCCTCAGACGTGGAGCCTTGGCGGTTCGACAGAGAGGTACCGGCTGTTGCAGCTCATAAGGAAGGAGAGCCTGGATGGAGAGCCAGTGCCCTGACAGCATCCCTGTGCACTGAGCAGAGAGACACCAGCAGCCTGGAGTTCACCATGGAGTTTGGGAGAGTTTGGTCCAGATACCAGCGGACAGTGCTGATCACAATGATGATGGTCAAACTGGGTAGGTTCTTTCCTGAAACAACTTATGCATGAACAGGTGTAGATGTACTGCATGCGTCGGAGCAGTTCATGTTCTGCTCTTCACGCAGGCACCGTTTGAAACTTTCCTCTTCATCTTGTTGATGTGAGCGACCATGATGCGTACGTGTGCATCTATTGGATCCCACTGTACAGAACAGACAGCGCATGACACACTAGTGAAATCTGCCGCACGCTGATCCTTGGGGCCTCTTTAAGATCAAATGAGTGTCTTGTGACGAGTCAGCACTTACAGTAACTAGTTTTATTTTCAGCAACAGATAGTTCAAAACTCCCCAAATGGGTAGAAATCAAAGCCCCACTGATGCTGCTTTTCATCTTGGTTTTAGACTAAAAGTGTCTTGTGTTGAGAAAGTTTGGGTCCAACCTGTAGAATAACGTTATGAGCTGTTTATCATGAGCCGTCGTGCTCAGAGTATTTGTGGTGAGTGAGCCTCAGCTGACCAATCAACTGTTGGCTCAACATGGCTCTCATCAACCGAGTTACAGCCCTTAGAGGCTGATCGGCTGTTGAAATGGGTTCAGCAACAGGTGCAGCTCTACATCACATGATTTTTCCTGAATGTCTCATTAAAACCTAGTGCTTTATGTGATATTTTGCTAACAGAAAGACAACTATTATACCGATACAGCTCATTTTTTAACATAGATGCTCTGCCATCAGTTACCTGTCAGGAGTATGTTTGGCATCATTCTTGGTTTCTACGACACCAAATCTGAGCAACAACCCGCAGAATTGCAGACACTTTGATGTTTTTCACGGGCCCTTGGCCGTGGTGGCAGCTCACCTTTCAAATACGATCGTCTGTCAGCTGCATCTAATCATGATCTTCTGCAAGTTGCTCCGACACAAACAGACGAGTGAAAACTTTGTCGTCTGCCTTCGCCTTTTAGCAGATGAAGAGCAACCGCAAATATGTTGCAGCCATAAGGAACAATTAAACTAACGGGCCGATTGACAAAATATCTTAAAACTTTTATCTCAAATGTTTTTTTTATAAAACAGGTTTCTCCTTAGTTGTGCGAGTGCCGTTTTGTACAAAAATAAGCCCGTTGTACAGTTTCTGCTTTCCTTCCCTTCTGTGAGAGCTGAACCTCTAGCATGTGCAGCCCTGCACCCTGTCTGTGTGTGTGCGTGCGTGCGTGCGTGCGTGCGTGTGTGTTGGGTTAGGGGATCGTGGTGGTTCGTCATCCCCACAAACCTCATGAAAACCCTCCTGGCCCATTTTTCCCGCGCCCTTCATTTGTGTGAATCGTCCGAAGCCATTTTAAACGGTGGCACGCCGACTGCATGGAATGGGTCTGCACGGCATTGTTAGGGGTTACCATGGTAACGAGCGGAGCGTCTGTCTGCACTGTTTTTTTGTCTCGGCTCTGAATAGACTGGGGTCTATGAGCTCTGGCACTTTGCTCGGATGTTTTAAAGGAAAACACTTGGACGGAGGCGGGACTCCGTGCTGAGATAAAAACAAGTGAGAGAACATCAAACTATTGATGGTAATTTAGAAAACTGCCTGAAAACGACAGAACCGTTAAACAAACAAAGGCCCAACATTCCTAGAATGACTGTTCATGGTCCACTGCTTTCTGTGCAAGAGTTTTTGACCAAGATTATTTTATGATGAGAAGGAACATTTGTTGCTTTGGTCTGTAAAAACACGATTACTGTCGGTCTAGTAGCACTCACATCATGTGTTGAGGAAAAGTCTCTGCTACTACCACAAGTTGCCCCTCGATATCTGCAAAATGGACTGATATTCATATTACAATTTGTGTTGGCTATGTTGATTAGCTGTGGCAGCTATGTTGATTAGCTGTGGCAGCCATGATGATTAGCTGTGGCAGCTATG